AAAAAAAATCATTATGAAGATAATTTTATTGTCATCATGTGACTGAGTTCCTGAGAAAATAGAGTGTAATTCTTGTTGTCTATAGCAGAGACGTATATATTACAATACATCTCTGTCTATAGTAAGTTTGTTAACGGAGTGCCCTCTGTGTGTGGTAATTATACAGGTGTCAAACATTAGTCAAGCGGTTCCGGGTAGTGTACCTATGAACTTACATGGTTCAATGAAAAAGATAATTGACCTTTAAACAGCTGACCAATTAGTACCACTTAGCGCCTTAAGCAAGTTACACAGTGGACAGTATATATCAGAGGCTGGGATTAACCTGGCCTAGGGTATATTTGGAAATATTATATTAACGACAACAAGATTTATTAATTAAATGAAGAAAAGTTTATTGATATTTTTAGAGAAGAATGTGCAGAAAAAAATAGAATATTCTGAAAAGCAAATTTTTATAGATATATTTACGATCATTTTGATCTACAAAACTTCCTGCGTAAACCCATACAAAGGGAATATCTGAAAGAAATAAAAAAAAAATAACTCCTCATAACTTAAAATTAGAAAAAGGGCGATATCAAAACATTGAATCGTCGAGTGTGTAATGTTGGTAATTTAGATGATGTTGAAGATCATGTCATTCTGATTTGCGAGCAATTGTTTTGAAAACTTATTATATTAAAAAGCCAAGCATATTTAAATTGAAAGGATTATTGAGTGTGAAAAATTCAAAAGAAATAACGAACTTAGGGAAATATGTAAAATTTGCAAATTCGAGAGGAACCTAATTTATTATAAATAGGTATAGTTGCACTTGTAATTGTATTGTGAGTGTGCGTAATGCTGTGTAATGTTATGTTGTATTTTGCACAGTTAATATCACAAATTTTGTTACTTTGTAACTGGTGAGTCGAACGACTCAAAGTAATAAAGAACTTGAACTTGAACCAGGCGATGAGGATACGTACATGTATGACAAAACATGAAATATTGTAGCACTTACACTTACATGTATTGAGCACAGACAAACAAAATGTTATGTAGTTTTGCCACTCATCTATTGTGGTGTTGTCTATAAAAAGTCTGACAACGGTCAGCGACGTATACTTTAAAGCAAACATTTTCACTTGATTTTGTGTGCGGTATTATTCCCCATCACCAGTTTCACGAAAAAATACTTAATTATGGAGACAAGCTAACTTGAAATTACAGGAAATATCATCTTCTTCCCTCAACGCCATAACGTGTTCATGTGGAACTAGAGACAAGATATTGTGAGCATCCTTACATAGCATATGCATGTATATCCCCCCCCCCCGCCAAGTGAAAAATGTTATAAATGAGAGATAAATGTATCTATTAAATACCCCCCCCCCTCTACCCACACCCTTTTACTTTGCTGTACTCTACCATGACTAATTGCCCCTGGACCCTGATCAGGAAGCTATCGCCCTAAGCCCAAACCCTCCTTGATCCATGTCTGTTTAGGTACAAACGTACATGTACAAACGGAGAAATACATAATATTGTAGATACATTGAAGTTTGACCTTGTCTCAGTCCCTAAGTTATCTGACATCAGACCCTTATACCCTTTGTAGTACACACCCCTCAGGGTGTGCCAGACAGCCATAGTTTCCCCTGTACCAGGATTCAGACAGGTACGATTTACCTGTAGAAAAGTCACTATAGATACCTACATTTTTATGATCGATAAAGAAAACCTATATTCGTATTAACACTAGAGATACATATCTTGAATGTAAAAATTACATATATTTAGTACATATTATTTTTCTTATTCATAATAGTTTCCTACATGCACGAGCTTGCCTTTCAAACTGAAAAAATATATATAATAACTCCCGTAACAATATACACGTACAATGTATACTTTAACAAGAATCAGCTACATTTTCATAATAAAATAAAAGATGTATAACTAAAAAACCTGTTTATCTGTGAATGAAATTTATTTAATAGACATGGTATTAACATGTATACATTTCAAATCTCCGATGCATATATTAATACCTACGGAAAATCTAAAAGTGTATGGAAGTATTAAAGACGACATACAACATAGAAATACAGGTACTGGATCCTTAACACAGGAGTCTGAAATTATATCATTTTTAATTATTATTAGGCTTATTAATTATTACGTTTCTCGTTAAAAAACCGTAACAAGTTTACTTACTGTCAATATTAATTAGTATTTTATTCGGTAAGCAGGTGGAAATACTTCTGACCATAACTTATTATTATCTGTGTGTCGCGTTGATCTGTTAGCGTACGTCAGGTCTTTGTGATCGATCGACCTTTATCCTCGTAGCCTACAGTGGACTGACGTTTCTTCCTATGCATTGTGGGTATGTTCGTTTCGTTTTAGATATTTTATATGCTTCCGCTTTTTATGTAAACCCGTTCTTGTCACCACAAACGAATCACCGTTTGTAAGCGTCATCCGTAGCACTTCCGTACCGTTTGCGTAGCACTTGCGTAGCATTTCCGTACCGTTTGCGTAGCACTTCCGTACCGTTTGCGTCCAAGGTGGACCAGCGAACGTGCACGGGTCTGTATCAACATGCTTTTTTGTCACATAATATCTAGAGCCAAGCACCGATCCCTGTCTAATTTCCATCCTTACTGTTATATCAAGCTGGCTTTTAAATCATTTGCAATTCCAAAAGTTTGGCCCTAAGAATAACTGATGACAAACTAGGAATAATAAATGATCTGGTTTATTTACTTCGATATTTCTCTTTTGTAATGTTTAGACGTTTCATTCAGACAAAGCAACATATTAGGTGCCATTGTTGCCATCGTTACGCACGTATAGAAACGCGCTATTGAACAATCATGGCCTGTAATTCACTCATGTGGTGTATCATATAAAGAGCAGTGATACAACTATACCTTTCCTAGATTAGATCTCTTAATGTCAAAAAATAATTACAAGTATTTATTTATCGCTGTATCATTATCTTGTTTCAAGTTATTGTTATATTGTGGCAATGTATGCGAATCGATGTCATTGTCAAAACTAACCTCTGTTAACATGTACATATACATTTATACATTTTATACCAATTACGAATCAAGGTGGCAATTTATTAACAAGTTATTTAAACGTCTATTAATCATTCTTGCTGGCCCGCATGTTAGCGCGCTGGGGCTCTGGCTAAGGAAAGACCGGTGTACCCGGAGAAAACAGTCGAATCGGTTGAACGACGATAACATCTTCCACAGCGAAACCCGACTGACTAACTTATTCTACACCCAATATGGTAGCATGCATTGTAACACTAACTTCAAATAATTTCTTAATTTGTTTATCACCTTCTTCATTCATATTTGTACAGACAGAATCAAAGATTGTGTTGCCTCTCGAAACGTTTTTTTTTTTAATATTGCATTGCAACCTAAAGACAATACGACTAAGATTACCTTAACCATGTGAACAATGCCATACATTCGTTTGTGTGGATCCAGTGTAAGATGTGAATCATCCTGTTTTCAGTTTTCATAAAGCATATATTTGCTACCTTAATGTAACTTATTTTTCAAATCTCTGCCGTTCCATTTTACAGCAGTGGTGTGGATTAACAAAAATGTGATGCAACCGGCCTTTCGAATTATTATGAAATTGATTTACGGTAAAGAGCTTTAATTATACCTGTATGGTGTTAGTATCAAACTGGTACTGTAATCTCACTCGTCATTTAACATGTCTACGTTTATCAAAAAATACTTTAAAAGTATATATGAATATATTAATGCTTCTAAATATGAATGTAATAATGCGTCGAAATATAAATGAGCTACTTACGTGTTAAGCGCATCGTCCTGTTCTTGGTAGGCAGACTCTTAATGACGTCATGTTGCATTAATAGAGCCACCAATGCCAGCAACACAGACAAACTGTTTGCCATGGTCAGCTGTTATGGAATGGCAACGCGTTCCTGTCTTGAAGAGTTATATAGGAGTTTCCTGGAAGAGGTAACGCCCACCGAATTATTGAACCAATACTGTGGCCTCATTCAGTTCTAATACACGTTCCTTGATTAAAAGGCATTTAAATCAAATTTATTTATAAAAACAAACTAAGATGAAACAGTTAGCATGGCCAACGACAGCAAGATCTAGTCAATTACAAAATAAAAATGAGAAAGGTTCCGTCATTTATAGTGACGTGTACGTGATAATGGTTAAGAAGGACTTTGTCTGACTACAGTAGATACACGTAGCATTTACTTAGGATGCGTTCGACACGACAGTGATCGCCTATACAAAATCTGACTTTAAATTAATGTATGGCTACGTTCAGGTTTGTGTTGTTGGTCCAACTTCCCTTTACAAAATCTATTTAGATTTTACATTAAATAGCTATATAATTTGTAAATGGAACATACAAATCTCCCACATTTTACAGTTGTATTCTACAAGTTCAAAATATTAACATTTCCAATAGAATTAATAAAATTAAAGCTGTTCATCTAAAAGTGAATGTTAACCGCACACTGCCTTAGATGAAAACATATCGGCCCATGCTTTCACGTCAACACTCAGGTAGCTTACATAATTTTTTACACGGATTTGAATCACTCATATACAAATTGCTTTCTTAATTCATGAACTATTTGTAATACAACTACCAGTATATACAGCGGACATGTTGATTGCTATTTCCTATGTTCAACAGATCTGGGTAGTTATCTTTAATGGAAACAATGCAGAAATATACATTTTTTCCCGGTATATTTGCCTTGTGACATTATGATTTTTTGAAATTAAATCTGAACGAATTGAACTTGTTATACAAATTATAGAATACCCATGTTTCCTGACATGTTATGCTATAGAATTTTAAATGGTAGAGACCTAGCCAATCTATCTAGTGATTTTACTTTCTGTGGTGCAAATGGAATGAGTGTTATTGATTATGTATTAATGCCATTTAGTATGTTTTCTGTTGTTAAAAAATTCATGGTTTGCGAATTTGTTGAATTTTCCGACCATGCTCCATTGCACATTGAAATACACTGTAATTTAGGAGGTGGTGATGAGGATGATGATGATGATGATGAT